GAATCAATGATTGGAATATTTATTTAATGTAATAGTCATGGAGCATTTAAATAATAATACAAATCAGCCCAGTGTATCTTATTAGGTTGTACATCATTGCTCAGGTAGACTGTTAGGCCCTTGTAGACTAAGAATGTTTTTCAGAAATTTGGCACTTAGCACAGTAGGTATGTGACTTATGATCAGATGTGTTTCCTTTACTCATTCATTCAACAAATATTTACTTACAGAGCACTTACTCTGTTCCAGGAAATGTTCCAGGTACCAGGAAAACAGTAGTGAAGGAGGCAGACTAGGGCACTGCCCTCGGAGGGTTTACAGTTTTGAGAGGTGTGACAGAGAAATTGGAGGTCATTATGTTAAGTAAAGTAAGCCAGTCACAGAAAGACAAATACCACAGGATATCATTCGTATGTGGAATCTTTTTAAAAGATGATATTATAGAGACAGAGAGTAGAACAGTGGTTACCAGAGACTGGTGAGTGAAGGGGGGATGGGGAAAAAGGGAGAGGTTGGCCAATGGATACATAAGTACGATTAGATAGGAGGAATAAGTTCTGGTGTTCTATTGCACAATAGGGTGACTACGGTAACAGTTAAGGTTTGTATATTACATAATCGCTAGAGAAGAGGCTTTTGAATGTTTTCACCACAAAAAAATGATAAATGCATGAGGTGATGGTTACATTAACTACCCTGACCTGATCATCATACAACCTACATATGAATCAAAACATCAGATTGTACCCCACAAGTACATGCAATTACAATGTGTCAATTAATATATATATTGGCTATATATATATATATATATGCACACACACACACACACACACTTTTTTTTTTTTTTTTGGTGGCTGGCTGGTATGGGAAATCTGAATAAAATAAACTTAAAAAAATTTTCAAACAGTCATGAAGGAAATTAAATGCAGGGATACAAGAGAAATAGGAAGAGGAGAGGCCCCATTAAAGAAGGTAGTCAGGAATTCATCTCTGAAGAGGTGGAATTGGAGCCGAAACCCCAAGTGATGAGCTAAATTTGAATCTGCAAAGGTGAATGTGACTCATTTTCTCCACTGAGGATATCTTTAGTGAAAAAGGTATTAAACAAACAATTGAAGGGATCAGACCCATTTGGGGAGGAATGTGGTGAGACCAGGTGTTGCTTTTAGAATGTCCTGAAAACAACCAGGTAACCCCCAGGCCACCGAAAACTAGTCTCTATAAAGGAGTTCTGTCTGTGGCAGAAGATGGGGAGATGCTCCCATCTTCAGCAGATAGTCTGCCTAGTTGGAGAGGTACCTTGTGAAGGTGCCCTCACTCTATAGAATTAAGTTGCATTTTTCTTCTAATTTTTTCTGTGATTTGCATACATCTTAAATACAAAACCATCTTGTCTACTTTTTATTCATCCCCACTACAAAACTTTTCTAGTGATTCACCTCTTGTGTGCATTTTCTGAGTTGGAAATATCAAGGTAACAGATGCGACACATTAAGAATTTGTTAAATATAGTTAATGAGTGAAGGAATTCAGTCCAAATTACTCAGCCTGACAGCATGGGCTTCTAAACAACTTGGGAATGGGTGGTGCTCAAAAGTTCATGGAATTAACTTCAGTAATTGCCTCTCTCACTTCCATACTTGACACAGTATTTTATTTTGAAAATTTTTTATAATCAAAAATTTCATGTGTTCTGATTACGTTGCATCTCGGGGTAAACTCACTTTGAACTGCCTTACCTCCTCCCAAGGCACAGGACTGGCTATTTGATGTCATGGACCATTGAAATGTCAGCCCTCTCTTGTGGCTCCCGGCTGACTATCTCAGGGTCGCCAGTACTCACAGGGTCTATAATCTTCTTTATTTCAATTATTGCCTCCTTGTCTCCATAAGCTTCTTGGAGGTCTCCTCCTAGCTTTGCTTTTTCTTTGCTCAGAACTGAATTTCCTCTTCTGCTGCCCCTTTCCCCAAATGCCTTAATTTCCTTATGCCTTATGCTTACCTTGCCAAATTGTTAATATTTGGGGGATCCTCCTGCTGCATACTTCTGAACCACATGAGGGTACTTCAAAAAGCTTATGCAAAAAATAGAATCAAAAGATGATATGAATCCTTCTATGAACTTTTTGAAGGTCCTTTGTATTTAGTCACAGTAATCAAAGGCTAACATTATGGAAATAACTACTAGAACCATTTAACTCAGAAAAAAACCCCTCAGCTTCTGGAGTAAAATTACCTGGAATTCAAAGTCCCACACCCCCACTTCTTGGCTACATGATCTGAGATAAGCTATTTAAAACTCTCTAAGTTTCATTTTCTTATTTCTGTGAAATAAGTGTGATAATTAAACTCATAAAAAGGGCTGGCTGGTTAGTTCAGTTGGTTAAAGTGAGATGTTATAACACCAAGGTCAAGAGTTCAGATTCCCATACATGCCAGCCACCAAAAATAAATAAATAAATACAACCCATAAAGAATTATTGTATTTAATAAAATATTATACAGCAAGAGCTTAGCACAGTGCCTGACACACAGGAAGTATCCAAGAAACATCCGCTGTTATTGCCATCATTATTTCTGTCATCCTAGAAGATGTGCAGTTTGTATAGATCTCATTTGCATACAAGAAAGGCATTTAGCCCAATGCCTGGCACTCATTAGGCATTCAACAAGTTTCAGATATTACTACTTAAAAATCAACTAGAATCACAATATTATAGCATAGGAGAAGAAAGTAGAGATTGTCTAGTTCAATCCTCTCACTTTACAGATGAAGAAAAACATGTTAGAGAAAGGAAATCACCTGCCAAAGAGGAAAGGGCACAGCTGTGGACTGTGCTGCAAGCTCTTTTCCAGGTCAATCCACACCCTGACAACTGGGCAACAGACAATCTTTAAGTTGGTGAGGAAGCGTAGGGCAGCAAAAGAAAGAAAAGTGTATGAAAGACACAGTTAAGTGGATCTCACAGAGAACATCAGGACACAGACAGAAAGAAAATGGTGCATGGCTGGCTGGTTAGCTCAGTTGGTTAAAGCTCAGCCTTATAACCCCAATGTCATGGGTTCGAATCCCATACCAGCCAGCTGCAAAAAAAAAAATTGGACAAGGAAGAGAAAAGTGAGAGGCAATTAAAAAGCTCAACATGGAAGTACAAGGAGTTTCACAAAGAGCTTAAGGACATAAAGTGTTAGTGTCTGTGACTTTGGCCCTGAGATAAAGACCAGGAGCACCTTAAGCATAATATTCCAAAAGCCTAGACCCATTTGTCACCTGTGGGCCCCCCCCCCGCCGGTTGTTTAGGATTGGTCCAAAAAAGAACANAATGCCTGGCACTCATTAGGCATTCAACAAGTTTCAGATATTACTACTTAAAAATCAACTACAATCACAATATTATAGCATAGGAGAAGAAAGTAGAGATTGTCTAGTTCAATCCTCTCACTTTATAGATGAAAAAAACATGTTAGAGAAAGGAAATCACCTGCCAAAGAGGAAAGGGCACAGCTGTGGACTGTGCTGCAAGCTCTTTTCCAGGTCAATCCACACCCTGATAACTGGGCACTGGACAATCTTTAAGTTGGTGAGGAAGCGTAGGGCAGCAAAAGAAAGAAAAGTGTATGAAAGACACAGTCAAGTGGATCTCACAGAGAACATCAGGACACAGACAGAAAGAAAATGGTGCATGGCTGGCTGGTTAGCTCAGTTGGTTAGAGCTCAGCCTTATAACCCCAATGTCATGGGTTTGAATCCCATACCAGTCAGCTGCAAAAAAAAAATGGGACAAGGAAGAGAAAAGTGAGAGGCAATTAAAAAGCTCAACATGGAAGTACAAGGAGTTTCACAAAGAGCTTAAGGACATAAAGTGTTAGTGTCTATGACTTTGGCCCTGAGATAAAGACCAGGAGCATCTTAAGCATAATATTCCAAAAGCCTAGACCCATTTGTCACCTGTGGGCCCCCCCAGTTGTTTAGGATTGGTCCAAAAAAGAACAGCCATTGGGCAGCTGCCGCCACCACATCTCTCACTCTTGCTGCTGCTAAATTTGCAAGACGGTGATTTCATCTAGTTGGAGGCCCAGAGCCCTGACTGGTTAGGGAAAGGGTAAGTAACCATTGCGGCAGCAGTAGGGGAGTGAGTCTTGGACAAGCCTAATATAGACCTGCCTGGGGAAGGGGTGCTAGTGCTAACCTGTGGTTTTTGTTTGTTTATTTTTGTTATTACGAGTGGAGGATTTGCCTAGAATGCAAATGCTTAGAAGAAAAACCCAGAGGAAGGGACTGGGATGGAAAGCGACACATGTCTGAAAAGAAGGCTAGATGAAAAGAGAGCTAAAGGCTTTATAACCTGCAGTTTGGCTTCCCTATCTTGCTTCTTGCTTCACTGAATTGTCATCAAGGGGTCTCTGGGGTGCCTGAGCCACTTAGACCTTAGCCGTTCCCCTATGCTTTGCTGTATCACAGGCTCCATAGGTCATGCCAAGTCACCGAGGGCAAAGCGCCCCCTGCAGCAGAAAGAACCTGCACCAAGATGGAAAAGGGGTCCCCAAATTAATGATAGATACAAAGGCCAAAGGGCAAATGTGTGCTGGGGAAAGAGCATCTAAAAGGCTAAAGGGAAGTTAGTATTTTTTTAGGTTCGTGCATAAACTTTTTGGGTCACAAAATGAGCTTCAGCTTTCAGCTGAATATTGGCAAAGGGAGGAAACTTCGTCAGCACTTCCACCACTTGTTTTAGCCTATGCCTTATGTGCTTGGTGTGGTGCTGGCAATGATTAAGGGCAAAGAAAACTGGAACATGCATTGCGTCCTCAAGAACTTACAGACTTCAAGCAAAAGCGCTCCCCTCACGGGCCTCTGAGCATTCGACACAGCTAACCAGCTAAACAGTATGCTATTTTCTCCGAGTCCTGGGACAGGTCAGTGTGGAGGAAAGTCATGCTATTTTCCAGTTGTGATATGTTTTAGAGTCCCCTGTGTGATGTTCCCAGGGAGATGGAGGGAAGAATCACAGTTTCCACATGTCAGAGCTAGAATGTTACAGTTAGCATAATTTTGGCTATTTACAACGTTTCCACCCCTGGCACTCCTGCCATTTACACACAGCCCATATCCACAGATTCACCACTGAGCCCACACATGGCCTGAGCATCCTTCCTAGCACCACACCCAGGCAGCAACACCCAGTCAACAGGATTTGCAACAACAGACGTCCTCACTGGCTAGTCGCACATTTTGCATACGAGTTAGAGGCAGAGGCAAGATTAGGATCCAGGTGCTCGGACACGCGGCTTGGTGTCTTTATACCTTCATTCTGCTCCCTCTCCCTTCTCCTGTGCTGGTGAAGACCCCCAGATGCTTTACTCATGCACCATCTTTTAATGCTCCCCAGAACCCAGACGTGGGTTCAGTTCACAGATGGCTAGCGCTAGTCATCTCCGTGAAGAGTAAGAGTGATGATTTGACAGGTGCCCAAAGGTCTGCTTGCCTGACTGTAAAGATCCCGGCAGCCCTGCCTTCGTGGGAGTTGTGACCGTCCTTGTTCTCACCCTCCAGCTTGAGAACAGTTCAAGTGGGTTATGTGCTAACATATTAAGGAGGCAGGAAGAATAAGGTCTTTAGGGTCAACAAGAAATAAGTGGCAACCATTGTCTTCCCCTAGCTAGCTGTGTGACCTCTCTGAGGCACAGGGCCTTTCTACTAGAAATGAGGCTAATAATGCCCACCTGAAAAAATCTGTGAGATCAAATGAGATAGTACCCGTAAAGTGCCTCATTTATTGACTACATCATAGTAGGTGATTAATAAAGGGTTACTATCACTATTGTAATTGTGTTTTTCTCAGGATCACTGAAGACAAAAGGACCCCTGAGGCAGTAGATGACAGGTAAGTGATGTTTTAAAAGGACAGAATTAGGAAGAAGGGCTCCACCTGAGCCCTGGGGTGGTGGGCAACTGGGGAAAGGGAAAGGCAAAAAAGCAGGAGAGCTCCTTACAAGTATCCCAACTAGAGACACAGCAGAGCACAGCCTGATGGACTACAGGGACTGAGCCTGGAACTGGAATGACACCAAGGGACAGAGCAACTGTAGATGCTGAGGAAAAACCCAGCCTGGCAGGCAGCATAGAGCATTCAAAGGGCACAGCAAAAAAATGGGTCACGGAATGAGTACGCAGCAGCCACCTGGGATTCTGAGTGGGGGTGGAAACTTGGCCAGAATGACCAAAGATAATCCACGAGGCAGTCCACATCTCGGGAGTCTCTGGGCAAACAATAAGATCCCAGGAGCAGACCGGGGTGCAGTGTGACCCCAGGCTTTGGGAGGGACATTGTGAAATCCAGTAAGAGGGGCTCTTGTGGCAAGGAGGTTACTATGGTGTTCTTTCGTATACCAAGCCCAGAGGCTGAAGGCAGGGCTAACTTATAGATGGGGTCAATTAGCTCATAGCTGTGCAAGAAAGAGGGCAGAGAGTGTTGGAACTAGGTAGGGCCAGAAACGCATAGAAAGAACTTTGGGCTGGAAAAGCCTCAGTTAAAAACCATAGCTGGCTTTTTGTTTTAGGAACTGAGAGACCTTGGCAAATTACATACCTTTGCAAAGCCTTCATTTGTTTATCTGTAAAATAGGAATGAGAGCTAGCAAGTATCATCATTGTGGAGACTAATAAAATGAATGTAAGATATTTTTCTTTACAACCCTGTCAAAAGCTAACTTAGAAGTAAACTCTTATTCACGTCTTCATAGCTATATAAACACATGTAAAATAGGATAGTATGCAGAACATTACAGCATTATAGTTACAGCGTAGTCAACGATGGGTGCTGTAGACAGCAATAATATCCACACACGGGCACATCACTTCTCAATGGGTGAATCTTTTCACATCCATTGGCTTGTTTGATCCTCACACTGTGAGGTAAGCAGAGTAACAACAACAAGCTGGAGGCAGCATAAGGAGAGATGTCTATATCAATCATGTTTTTTTATTTTCTATATTTTATGATGCTTTGACATCTTGGGGCCTTGCAGACCCGGGCAGACTGCCCCAGACAACTTGCCCGAGAGCTTGCCTCTCATATGCAAACCAATCAATCCAGAGCCCATACCCCCTACCCCTTCCTTTATCTAATTCTCAAACACCAAGCCAATATTTCCCCTACCCTAAATCACTGGAGGGCCAGGCACCAGACAACTAGGGACCACCCTGATAGCCTAGAGCCTACTGAAATTATTTAAACTATTCTATCCTAAGCTTGCTTAGCTTGCCTATCTCTCCTCACCCATTCCTTCCCATGAAAACCACGATAAGGCTCCTGCCTACAGTTTCCTCTACTTCCCTCTGCCTCCTGACTGACCCTGGTGCTCCCCCATGTGATGTGGTGGGGCATAGTATGTCCCTCCCTCTTGGGAACTGTGAGTAATAAACTATCTTTTAAGAGGCAGTCATCTCGTGATCTTTGTTCATACCTGAATAAAAACAAAAATCCTAGGTACATTATATAAGAATGTTAAATCAAATATGGTAAATAGCACTAAAGTATTAAAAAATAAGTTTAAAGCCTTAAAAAAGTGAAATAGAGCATTGTGTTAAAATGGAAAGACTTCCTCAACACATCGAGTGGAAGAAAAGTCATAAAAAAAACTTTATAGTATGATCCCATTTATGAAAAAAAGTTTTTTGTTTATGTACATGCATATGTGTGTGTACAGCAAAGGGAATTAAGGATTCATACTCATCTACTGACTGTGGCTACGTCTGGGAACGGAGACTTGAGGCAGGTGGGAGGAGGATGTTGTAGGAAGACTTTCTAGTTTTTTTTTGTATAAGTATGTATTCTTTGAATCTTTAAAATAAAACTGGATTCATGCATTACTTACATAGAAAAGATAGTAGAAATGATTACTCAGCATCTATTACCAACACGAACACAGTATAATCACATACAATGGATGTTACTCAATCAATGAATATTATTTGCATATTAGCAGGTCAACTCTTTCCACCAGAGGGAAACGAGAAAATACCACCAAAATAGTAATTTTTTGACCAAAATGGGATTTTTTGAGCTTCTAATCAACTCTA